TCCCACACCCTCTCCGGAATGGGTAGAGGTTGCAGAAACCCAGCTGGAGTCTGTGTGCTATATTTCTGCTGCTGGCAGATAGTACATCGGGCTACAAACTCTTTCACCATCCATTTCATACCTTTCCAGTAATAATGGGCTGCCAGGCGTTTATAGGTGCGGAAAGCTCCAGAGTGTCCCCCTTGGGCCGAGTTATGGAAGAGTCGAAGCAGCTCTTGATGATATTTGGATTCTCCCGATACCAACACATGACCCTTGTAGAAGAGAATCCTGTTCTGGACTGTGTATCTTGGGGCCTGTGCAGAATCCTCAAAGATCTGGGCCCGAATTTGGGTTAAATGGGGATCATCCTGGGCTTCCTGCTTCAATTGGGTAGACAGTGGATAATTCAGCCGTGACAAGCCCATCGAGTGAAAGTCACCAGCTCTGGAGAGTGCATCTGCCACAGCATTAGAGGCCACAGACTTGTATTCAATAGCAAAATCGAACCCCATTAACTTGTAGGCCCACTTATGCTGATCCGGGTCCAAAACTTGCTGCTCCAACAGGTGCTTAATGCTGCGGTGGTCCATCCTGACAGTAAACCTTCGGCCCAGAAGATATGCTCTCCATCTTTGAACTACCAAAGCAATGGCCATGAGCTCCTTCTCATAGGTGGACTTAGCTTGAGCCTGTGGAGAAAGAGCCTTGCTGTAATAGGCCAAGGGCCGGCCTTGCTGCATCAGAACTGCACCGATTCCTTTACCTGAGGCGTCAGCCTCCACTATGAACTCCAAATCAAAATTTGGGAGGGCCAGTGTAGGTGGAGTTGTTACAGCTTCCCTGAGTGCCTGAAAGGCTTCTTCAGCTTGTTGGTCCCACACAAATGAGTGTTTCTTCAACAGTCGTGTGAGGGGAGCGGCAAGAACCCCATATCCTTTAATGAACCGGCGGTAGTAACCTGTTAACCCAAGGAACCCCTTGAGAGCCTGTGGAGAGCTGGGTCGGGCCCATGAAACCATGCAATTAATCTTCTCTGGGTCTGTGTAAACCTGTCCAGAAATGATATGCCCCAAGTAGCTGATCTGGGTCTGTCCAAACAAGCACTTTGAGGGTTTGGAAAACAATTGGTGTTGTAGTAGGTTTAACACACACTGCAAGTGTTCCAAATGGGAGGCCCAACTTGAACTTTAGACAAGTATGTCATCGAAGAACAGTAGGACAAATAGGCACAGATAAGGCTTGAAAATCCCATTCATGAGCCTCTGGAATGAAGAGGGGGCATTGGTCAGCCCAAAGGGCATCGCTAGGAATTCAAAATGCCCGTCTGAGGTCCTGAACATAGTTCTGTGAACGTCCTCGGGGTGGACCCGGATCTGATGGTATGGGGTACCTGTCCTTGGCCGTGATGCGGTTCAAGGCTCTATAGTCCACACAGAATCTCCAACTTCCATCCTTCTTTCTTACCAAAATTACTGGGGAGGAAAAGGGGCTTCTGTTGGGCTGGATAAAACCTTTGTCTAACAGCTCTGTCACCATACGCTCTACCTCTACTCTTTGGTAATGAGGGTAGCAGTAGGGTCTGATGTTGGTGAGTGGGTCTCCGGGTTGGATAGGAATCCAGTGGTCATGGGCTCGAGTGGGTGGTAATGAAGTGGGTTCTTGGAAAATGTCGGAGTAGGACTGAAGCAAAAGTTGGAGCTGTTGGGCTTGGCTTGGGGATGGGCTAGTGTTTCCTGTGAGTGGAGTGGGCCCAGTGGGCATGGAACCCATGCTCATCAGTAATGGGATAGAGTCTTGTTGACAGGTCTTAAGAACCACCTCCGAACTGTCAGTGGTTATGGGTTGGGCCTTAATCCCTTTTAACGTGTAGGAATTCCCCTCGTAATTAAACTGCATGGTCAAGTCAGCCCAGTTACACACTACAGGGCCCAACAACTGTAGCCATTGTATGCCCAAGACAACATCTGCCCCGGTGAATTCTAACGGATGTAGATCCACCTTAAATTAGTACCCCTGAATCTTCAATTCTACTGACTTGCACCTACCATCACAAGAGATTTGGTGGCCATTAGCTACATTAACTGAGTAGATGTTCAAGACTGCTATCAGCCTTGAACTCTAATAGATTTCAGGTTCGAAAAAGGAGAAAAAGGTATAGAGGAGAGAGGAGAAAGAGTAGAGAGAGAGCAGTAGAACACAAGAATTGAAAGGAATGA